CATGTCCCTGGGCGCAGAACCCACAAGGCAATTTTCTAGGTTTGAATACAGTGAGCTACAGGATTGATGCTGAATTGTTTTCATTCATTTCCGAAACTTTCGACAGTGAAACCGATCCCAACCGTCTTGGGTCCATTTCTTCTGAGTGAACTCAGTATAAAAGCTGTCAGGCGTATAATGTTTATTATCGGAGATTCAATAGCAAGAGAGCCAGGGGTGGCACAGTCGGGCGGTGCACGCCTTCCTATTTTATTGATGGAAACACATTTTCATTTCTTATAACAACAAATTTTGGTGGCTTTCAACTGCAGAATAATTTGACATTTTCAAAGAAAAATTCTCGCAAAAGATGCGTCCCATATCTTCTTGGGTTACCCCAAAAGTTTCCACAAATGCATTGCATCTGCCGCTCCTTTTCTTGAATGTGAATGTTTGATCCATCACTTACTCTAGTCAGACAGGTCTGCCCGAAAAATGCAAGCAGGAAATTAAAATAATGAAATGAAAACAAAAGAAAGGAACAACCCCTAGTTGCTCGAATTTCAACAACAGAAAACGGCATCGAGATTGCAATGGATGTCAAATCAGTATTAGCTTAGGGTTTTACCCCATTGTCGGCTGAAAAGACGCCTAGGCCATCCTGTCCCCCCCCCACACACACACGGTAACCAACGTTAGACTTAATTTTGATCAGGCTGACTGAAACTTAATGTTGTCATTTCAATTAATCCGTGCCTCATTGGCCATAAGTTTAAAATCAGAATTTCGGGGTGACAAAAATGGCATAGCCAAGTAGCTCCCTTTTCAAACTCAATACTTCCAAAATGTACCTGTTATTTCAAACTGGTTTTTATGGGTAGTTCAGTAACGCCTCCTGGGGGGATGAGGGCATAAAACAAGACCCCTCCCCCCCTAAAAAGTGAATTCGGCAAACACGACTGACATACAGGAAAATTTCAAAGTGATCATAATCTCACAAAACATGCAGTTTTACTATTTAGTTCCTGAATGTCACACACACAGACTGGAAATATTATGTAATATGCAACACAAAGCTTGAGGGCGCTATTTCAAATTAATGTGGGAGAAGCACAATCGTAATAGGACGCATTTCACCAAATGGTTGGAATTCTGCGCGCAAGCTCATTAGTAATTTGTGATCCTTCGTGTTTTTTTTTACAATAAAACATGCCATAATCAGGAGAGATCATGGAAATATTTCTATAAATCCCGAATTTTGGACTGGTAGATTCTACGTCCGGATACTTCTTGTACAAAAAGCCCCAAAATTGCGGGCCCATTTTGGAATAGAGGCGGGCGGCTACCTCTAGAGTTTAGCGCATAGTCTTAGTACTGTTTTAGGAGCATCTTTGGGGGTAGGCGAATAAAAACTTTTTCGCGGCTAACACCCATCACATTAAAACGAAAAGTGATCTTCTGGCCACAATCCTGAATTTCCAGTGAAAAAATTGGAAATAAAATTCATTCATATATTAATCAGCTTAAAAAGTTGAGCTCACACCCTGACATGACTTGATTTCCGGTAATTCACTGCTGCCTACACCTCAACCATTATTCTTTCCAAATTTATCCATTCCAGGTGCGGAATTCAGTTTTTCTTCACAATCTGACGATTGGATGGAGCACGACAACCTCAACCGGTTTTTGAAAAACTCCATTTTGAAAGTAGACGCAACGAAATTCGC